GTCGTTGGCAAAATATATTTATAAATAAGTCCCTCTATTGCGACAAAGCTCATTCATAATTTTCCCTTTTTAAATCACCAAACCCAACTAAACACTACTTAACCGAGAAAAATATTTTAATTGATTCAGCATCTTTAGGGGGAAATAAAGTTATGAATTTAACAAAGCTAGCAGCCAAAGCAAAATTGGGAATAATAATCGGTCATAAAAATAAAGATGGCATGATCTTATGAACATTAACAAAACTCCGATTTGTCTTTTTTTGTTTTTTCCCTGCCAACGACTCCAATATGTGTGCGCGCGCCTTGTGATAATCTTGTTCCTGTTTTTATTCACGAATTATCGTTCTTGTTCTCTTGTTATCACATTTAAATGAAAACTTATAAGGAATTAGTCAAGGAAGATCTTGCCCAAGAAACCAGTACGGGCCAGTTATTTCTTGTCTTTACTCATTTTTTTTAATTGCACTATATACAAAAATAATTTATTATTGCAAAATAATTAACGAAAAGAGAATATTGTTGCAATTTCTCATGCGCCCCTTTATAATGGGTAATTAAATATTTTTTAAAATAATTATGACCACAAACAATAGAATATCCAAATAATTAATTTAAATGATTTTTTTTGTTTTACAAGTTTAAATGATAAATTTAATCTCAAACTATGAATGAGAAAAATAAAATTGACATATTTTTAAAATCTTTAACAGTTAAGGAAACTTTTAATTCCTAATGATTTTCTTAAAAAAAAAAAAAAGAATCATAGACTTCTTAAAGAAAATTATAGATTAATTTGCATAGCAAACAATTTTTCAAACTCACTATACTTTTATCCATTTTTAATAGATTTAAGTAACTTGACCTAATTTTTTTCTTTTTTAAAAAAATCATTTTTATGTCAACCTTAGAGCAAAAAATGTTTCTTCGCCCATTCTTACTATTAATTTATGGTTGAAAAGAATCATATTGCACTAATTTAATAGAATATTGTGTGTTATATTACTTCATAATCCATAACTCCACTAGGAATACTTGTACAGACATAATTTAACTCAACCGAACTTTTAAAACGATGATCTTTACTAACATAATGACTAAAAATCATCACTTTTGAACAAACTTTATATATTGCTTATTGGAGACCTTGTTTTAATAATTCACTCTTTGCCTTCTTTACTTCATTAGAATTTTATTGATATTATCGTGTCCTTTAATTTGCCTCCTTGCCGATTTAACGTCGACTTTTTCATTTTTATCCCTTCGCACATCTTTCACATGATTTTTTGTATTGAAAAAACTCAAATTCCAAATCATTTAGTATAAAAAATGTAAATAATGAAGTTGTCATTTATGCAACATTTAATTGTCAATTATTTGTAAAAAATTAGGGTAAAATATACTGACCATCCATCTATTTGATCTAAACTATAGAAACCTCTCTTCTATTTTTGAAAATGTATATAAACTTGTTTTGAAATTAAAACATATATTACACCAACCTCCATTGTATATTTGTTTTTTGATTTCTATTCATCCAACCGTTAGTTGACCATTAAGTTTGACTTTTAAAATTTTGTATTGGCCAAAATACCCCTGCTCAACATAAAAGTTATTTAAACATTTATATTTTTCAAAAAAATTGACATAACAAAAAATAATTTTAACACATGTATTTTCAAAAATTTTCAAATATAACAAAATTTATTAATTTTGATTATATTATAAAATTTTATAATTTTAATTTAATCTTTCATCACATATAATTAAACTTATTTATTTAGGTTTCTTTAAATGGCTAGAAAATAAAATGAATACATATTTTTTCATCATATAATATAAGTTATCTAAGTTTGAGAGATTATAGAAATCATTTAAATTTATAATTTAGAATTTTTAAATAAATTTTTTTAGAAAAATTTATAACTTATTTAGTCAATTATACATTTACTTAAAAAATTAATCAAATTTTCATTTTTTACATCTACGTTAACTAAATTACTTAATTTTCTATCCTAATATGATAAAAACATTAAAAAAATCTATTTACAAAAAATAGAAAAATAAAATTAAGGCAAAGGAAAAAATTTAAAATTTTTCAAAAATTGTTAACCAAAATTTAGGCATTTAGTATTATGAAGGGTAAATTAGTAAATAAAAAATATTTTAATATAAATTTTAGTTTAAAAAGTATCTTTTAGAATACTTTTAACTAGAGGTGAAAATAGGCTAGGTGGCCTGTTAGGGGCCTATGGCTAATCTGGCCTAGCTTGGCTTCACTTCCAAAAGAGGTAGGCTGAAACTTGTTTGAAGGCTCGTTTAGTTAAACATGTCATGTTTAGGTTCTCTAAAAAGCCTGTTAGGCCGGTTTAGGCCTATTAGAAATTTATAATTATAATATATAAAAAAATTAGTTAATAGTACTATTGTTAATGTGTTTTTTTAATTTATTTTTTAATTTTAATATATAGTTAATAGCTTAATCCTTTCTTAGATTTTGAAGTTTAGTTGACAAGTAAAGATAAAAATATAATTTAAAATAATAATATCAATAAATAATGTGATCTTTAAATCTTAAAAATATTAATAAAATAGGAAAGAAAAATTGTGTTTCAAGAATGATAAATTAATTAACTTATGTGTTATGTTAATTAAATTATAAAACCTTCTTTATTCATTGTAAAGTTAATAGTTTTTTCTCTTTATTTATTTGTCTTAATTTTTTTTGTGTGTACTTAAACATAGTCTTGGTCCAAATTTTAACATGCAATTACAACTAGTTTTCAATAATATCCTTGTAAATTGTAATTAAGATTTAAAATAGTACTTATAATACTAAAATTTAAATGAAAGACAAGACTAAACAAATTAATTATTATGTATGCTTTTTTAAAAAAACATATATAATAGTAATTTGAATTTTTTAAAAATATAGGTTTTTTAACAGGTTTCAGGTTAGGCCAAGCCTTTATACAGACCAGGCTTAGGCTGAAAAATAAGCCTGTAATAGGCTACAGGCTAGCCTCAGGCCAATAGGCTACAAAATAGGTGTGGCCTGACCTAACCTGTTTCCACCCTTACTTTTAATGGAGTTAATGATTTGGACTTAAGTGTATATTCTCAAAACAGATAATAGATCCGTGTTATTATGGCAAAATATAAGGGAGGTAAGAATATTTTACTCCAAAATGTCTTTTTTGGCCAACAAAAGTTAGTTGTCTATGACATGAGGTAAAAAATAAATTATCATGGTTCAATAAGTAAATTATAATATTAAACCTAATTTCATTAATAGATGCGTAATTTCATCGTTAGTTTCAATGTTCATTGCAAATCACAACGGCATTTATCACAACAGTAAAATCTATATTAATGTCCAAATATATTTTTCACATTTAAGATTTAAAATTTTCAGCTAATAATTTTTAAATAAAAAACTCATTTTTTAAAAATGGATATTTTAGAAATAACTTCTATTTAAGTGCTAGATCTGCACATATTAAAATATCGTCAAATTCATAATGAGATTTTAAACAGGGAAAATCTATCGTGTTTTTTTTTTTCAAAAAAAAGACGCCTTATAAATAATTACATAACGCTATACACACACGTACAAGAGTTGGCAACTAACTTTTGATGCAAACATATAATGGCACCTTTAAATTGTGTGTGATCTCCAATAAAAAAAACCCTTGAATAGATTTGCATATCTTCGATTCTGATCTTTCGAGGCCCTTACATATCAGATAGTTCAAACTTTGAAAAACCCAAATTCAAACTGATCATTGAATGCTACCAGTTGTGGTCCTTAGTATAAGAGATGAAAAACTAATTGGCGATATTAAAAAAAATTAATTCAATTAGTTATTTATAACAAATATAAATATTGTATTCTCTAAAATACTTATACAAATCAAGTGTAGTGAAATTACCCGTTGATAAATACTCCTTAACACGTATAATCACTATAGGGATTACTTGGAGGGATCATTTGGGGACAAAATGCATAAATATTAAAAATAAAGTGAATTGAAACTTTATATTTAAAACCAAATTGAATCTTTAACTAAATATTATACTAAGAATAAGAAATAGTATTAATTTAAAGCTGGATTAATCAGAGTCTATATATGTGAGAGTTGGTGTTATGAGTCCCACATTGAGGAATTTCACAAGTATTGTGGGATTTATAAATTCAAGGGGCTCTCCCTCCCAATAGGCTAGTCTTTTGGGATTGGGCTCTCCCTTTGGGCTTATGCTCATCACAGTTGGCCTGCTTATAATAATCTCAATTTGGCATAATGTCCAAATTAAGAGCATTAAGTACTTTTGTATTAAACAATGCATGATCCTAATCAAAATACCATCAATTATTTGTTTGATGAAGCAAACAAAAATAAGAAGATGATTATGGTGAGAGACTGAGAGTCCATTCGAACCTTTTTATGGAAGGTATAATTGATATGTTGGTTATAATAAAAAAAAAATCTAATTAATTTAAATTTGAATGTGGTTAAAATTTAGTAATTATCACCCAAATTCAAAGTTGGTGGCCTTCATGCAATCACAACTCTTTGTTATTTATATAATTAATTTGGTTTATTAATTAGTTCGCTCAGAATACGAAGAAAAATAACTAGATTTCTTTTACAGCTTTCTTCATTAGATTTTTTTCCCCCCAACACAAGAACATTCAATTTGTTTAATTTTTTTACGTCTTAAAATTAACATTGTTCCCTAATATGCGGGTTCTGTGTTTGTGAGATCTTTTTTAAATGTGTTTTTATGACAAAACATCATCATTCCAACTACTCATTTTAAAATTGTATTAAATTAGATATAGTCGTATAATATGTTTTTAAGTATTTTGATTTTCTTTTCAAATTTTTAATTCACATGAAGTTTCTATTCCTATCAGCCCTATATATATAAGCGCATGCTATTCTGTAACCAACCAAATAAATAATTTCTTGGACTTTTAATTTATATCCATATTCCATAATGGCATTGGCACCGTCAGGTCTTTCATTCACAGTGCGTCGGCGTCAGCCAGAGCTGGTAGCTCCGGCAAAAGCAACGCCGCACGAGGTGAAGCTTTTGTCGGACATTGACGACCAAGGGAGCCTTCGGTTCCATGTGCCGGTGATCCAGTTCTATCGCGGCGATCCTTCGATGAGAGGAAGAGATCCTGTTGAGGTTATCAGAAAAGCATTGGCCGAGACTCTGGTGTTTTACTATCCCTTCGCCGGCAGACTCCGGGAAGGGCCTAACCGGAAGATCATGATGGACTGTAATGGCGACGGGGTCGTTTTCATCGAGGCCGACGCCGATGTCACTCTGGAGGAATTCGGTGATCTTCATCCTCCTTTTCCTTGCTTTGAAGAGCTTCTTTACGATGTCCCAGGAACCTTAGATCTTCTCAACACTCCACTTCTCCTTATTCAGGTATTTCTTCTTCTTCAACCTATATATATATATATAGACACACACACACACAAACACTCACATTTATATGGTAATAGCTTTCTATATTTTGATATTGCATGTCTTTTATTTTCCACAATCGACTTGGATCTACCTAAAAACTTCTCAGATCAGAAGTTTGTAAATTTTTCATATATTATTTATTCTATGATAATCTTATAGATAAGCTCTTATTACTAACATCATTATTACTTTAAATTTACTTATTTTGATTTATTGGATTTAAGTATATTAGGCATATAAGGCTAAGCATTCATTTTTTTAAAAAAATTTTGGGATACATAAAATCCGTATTAATCGGTTATTCATATTTTTTGTAAACTGTGAAATTTTTTTTTTTGTCGTCGTGAAACATATTTGTCTTACCATCTCTAACTCTATTAGCTCATTTTCTAGTGAGATTTCCTCAATCTAGTCCTTATTACAAAGTAATTACAACATGTTTTATGATATATAATATGTTTTGTCTAAAGTATTAGTTTTTTTTACTCAGTATCTCTAACTGACTATAAACTGTCTAACTCATTAACCAAATTCTTGTAACTAATAATTTTTATCGAGGATAATTTTGATATTTTACTAGAAATAATTTATTCTAACTAATCTTATTGACTTGTGTAAAATTATTATTAAGTGGTTAATAAAGTACAGGAGGTGTACAATACAGTAGATCTAAAATCTATTTTAATAACATTTAAGTCTTGGGAAAAGAATAGTTTACGTCTTGCACAAAAAACGATTTTGTTTTACAAAATGATTTCTTTTAGCCGTTAATGAAAAATGATAGAGAGTGAGAGAGAGGAAAAAAAAAGAAGAGACAATGATCCAAATAAAACGGACAGTATAATCCATAAATTAATTGGCAAATATTTTTAAGGATTTTATGCAACTTAATTTTTGTGTGTGTACATATTAACTTTCTTTATATTCAATCTATCTTCTTTTATAATCATCCTCTCTTGTGTGATATCTTTCCTTTATGCAATCGAACATTTCTTATTTGCAAATTATCTCTTATGTCCAAATAATATTTTATGCAAACCAATCAAACTTAACTTTGCTTATGTGTAACTTATCTTCCTTTACGCAATTATTTACCAATTAATTTTTCATTAACGGATTGATCCCCAAGTTTTTCAATATTTATTGGAGAGAGAGCTTGCCTCATAGTACTTTTAACATTCATGTTGTAAACCATGATTTTAAACATTTAAACATCAAAAGGATTGACAACATATATACATTGAGTCAAATTGATCGGATCTTATTAACTAATATACACTTCCGGTCCTTAATATAAGACCTATTTAACTAATTTGATTATCTTAAAAAAGTTAGGTAAGTTAGTTAATTATAAAAAATGTGACACGTTTTTCCTAAAACACCATAATCATCTTTCTTAATACTCCTTTTCTTCTTCTACTTAATTATGGTTGAGGAAATATCCATAGGGGTAATTTAGAGAAAATTGATAAATATGATAAATGGGTCTTATATTTAGAACCAAAACCAACTCAACAATTGGGTTCTATATTAAGGACATGAGGGTGCTATTTTTATTTTTTATTTTTTATACTATATTCACTCCTAATTATAAGAGCTAGTTGACTAATTTGGAGAGATTAAGAAAATAAGTTAAGTTAGTTATTTGTAATAAATATGTGTTGTCTTTCTTAAAATATCCTTATTAATCAAGCGTGTTGACTAAAACTCTAATTATTAGAAGGACTATCTAAGAAAAAAATTGCATGAATATAAAAGACAAAGTGGATTGAGGTCTTATATTTAGGACTAGAATAAAAGTTAAACGAAGTTTTATATTAAGGATCAGAGTTAGTATTTTGATTAGGTTAAAAGATTTAGAACATGAAACAAAATCTTTTTTCCCCCGAAAATGAAACCAAAAGGAAAAAAAAAATAAAGATTCAGATCTATGGTTAGCAATTAATTAAATTTTTTTTAGTGTGTATGTGCATATATATTAACACTGATTAATAAAATTAAGAAATAGGAAAATTATAATATTTTTATAATATTTAAATAGCAAAACTCAGGGAAAAAAACGTGGCTCTCGACATAATAATGCTAATTCCCGCCATTGATTCCAAGAAATACCTCTGTTCCAAAGAATTTGAACTTCCCATATATTAAAATAAAGGGAAAGTTATATGTAGACCTAAACTTTACGTTATATATGCAGATCTTCTTAACACTCCACTTCTTCCTTTTTGAAGAACTAAAGATTAGATGTTAGTATAAAACGTAAATTACATTACAAAGTGGATCTTGGATAGTATAATTAGCCCTTCATGTTTTGAGATTGCATGTCTTTTATTTTCCATAGACTTGGATATACATAAAAAAAACTTTTCAGATAAGAAATTTGCCGCACTTTTTACAACAAAGAAACTTTATGATGCATGACCAAATATCTACAGTTGTATTGAAGAAAAAAAATATAAATATAAGTATACGTGTTTCAAAACAAATCAAGTTATATAAATTTTTTATATGTTATGTTATAAAATGCTAAGAACTTTTACTGATAATAGTATTACTCCTCCGGTCCTTAATATAGGACCCAATTGGTGAGTTGGTTTTGGTCTTAAATATAGGACCCATTTCTCATATTTATCAATTTTCTCTAAATTACCCCTATAAATACTCTTTCAACCATAATCAAGTAGAAGAGGAAAATGAGGTATTAAAAAAGATGATTATGGTATTTTAAGAAAAACGTGTCACATTTCTTATAATTAACTAACTTACCTAACTTCCTTAATCTAATCAAATTAGTTAAATGGGTCTTATATTAAGGACCGGAGGAGTATTACTTTAAGCATGTAAGGCTAAGCATTTTGTTTTCTTAAAGGAGAGTTTGCATTTAACATGAAACTAGTGTAAGTACTTGTGCCGTGATGCTTTTGGCTGCGATGAGATTCAAATTATATATTTTGTAGAGTTAATATTATTTTTAGTTTTAAAAATCTGATCTTTGATCCCCGAAATTTTGAACCATTGGTTGTCGTTTGACTAAAATCAAAATAAGGTTAAATTTTGGGGACTTAAATCAAAATGAAATGAAGTTTCACACCAAATATTATTTTCAAATTTACAAAACTAAAACCAATGAGATAAAATTTTAGGAATTAAAAATGTTATTAACCCTATTCCCCCCCCCCCCAACATTTTAACAACTCTCCAAATCTATAGGTAACACGCCTGAAGTGCAATGGTTTTATTTTCGCTCTACGTGTTAATCACACCATGAGTGATGCTGCTGGTATAGTTCAATTCCTGAGCGCGTTAGGAGAGATCGCTCGTGGTGCGCGGAAGCCTTTGACTTTACCAGTTTGGCGCAGGGAGCTTCTTAGCGCAAGGGACCCACCACGGGTAACGTGCATGCATGATGAATACGAAGAAGAAGAAGGGGGCTCTAATACCACAAAACAAACTATTGTCCCAATGCGCAACATGATTCAACGTTCTTTTTTCTTTGGACCTAATGAACTTGCTTCGATTCGCACTCAAATTCCTAACCATCTTCGTGAATGTTCTACTAAGTTTGAAATCATCACTGCATTTATATGGCGGTGTCGTACAATGGCTCTACAATTTAATGATGACGATAGAGTTCCTCTATTATATGCTGTGAATGTTCGTTCCAAATTCAACCCTCCTTTGCCGGACGGTTATTACGGCAATGCCATCGCCATGCCGATCGCCGTGACCACTGCCGGGGAATTACGAAGGAACCCATTAGGATATGCTTTAGAGTTGGTGAAGAAGTTGAAAGGTGAAGTGAGTGAGGAGTACATGCACTCTTTGGCAGATTTCATGGCAATTAAGGGACGGCCTCCTTATAAGAGGGCAGGGTTGTATGGTATGTCAAACTTGACCCGATCCGGCTTTGGCGACGTCGATTTTGGGTGGGGAAAGGCCATGTATGGCGGTGCGGCCAGAGCATATGGCTTTGGAAGCTTCTATATGCCTTATAAGAATGCTCAAGGACAAGAAGGTGTAATAGTACTTTTATGTTTACCTGGTGAAGCCATGGAGAGATTTGTGAAGGAGTTAGAGAGAATGCTCAAACAAGATTGATCACTTCTTCTTTGCAAGTGGATTATTTTCTAGTTTTAACTATGTCCAGTAAGCTGGCATGAATGTCTCTTTCGTTTATTATTGTAATTTTGGGTGTGATAGTGCTTCATGTATTGGGTGAATGGTGATCTCTCGCTGAACAAGTCTTTATAGAACAAGCATAACCACCGGCTTTGTATTGATGCTATTGGAATATATAAAACCTCTTATTTGCATGTTGAAGAAAGCAATTTATATATGGACTTAAACAAGCTCCTAAAGCTTGGCTTCATGCACCACATACATCACTAGCTTCATATATTCTAGCTCTGAGCTACAAAGTAGATTTTATATTAAGGATCGGATTAAATATAGTGTGTATATATGAGAAAGCGCCCTAGTTAGTTTATAGCATCGCTTCTTGGGAATTGAGTTTAAGAAAGATTGAGCACGATGTGAAAAGAATATGTGTGTGTGTGTGTGTGTGTGGAGAGAGAGAGAGAGAATTGATAACAAGCATAATTGAAACGACAAATTCAGTTGGAGATTTAACAAGTGGATTTCACAGTGTAACAAGTGAACAATATTAAATATATGTACATACAAAGGATATATTGTTATGACAAGTTTCCATAGCTAATTAACAAGTAAGCATAACCAAAATAACAAGTCCTGTTATAATTTTAACAAGTGCACTTTATGTTGTAATAAGTAAACATGACTGAGTATGCAAAGGGTACTATGAGTCTATGACAAGCAAGCATGACTGAAATGACAAGTTATGTTAGAATTTTAACAAGACACTGTAGCAAGCAAGTGGTTTGGAAGCCAAGTTTACTACATATATAAATTTGTGTACATGTAATTAGAGGGGTTTTATGGCTTGGTGGTAAATAAATTACTCTTTTGATATTTAATATAAGATGTAATTAACTAATTTAAGTAGGTTAAAAATATTAATTAAATTAGTTAATATGATATATTTTTTCTAAAACATGCTAAGGAGCTTCCTTAATTTCCTTCCTTTCTCTTCTACTTTATTATTATTGGGAGAATATTAATAGGGTTAGCTTGAAAAAAAAATGATAAACATGTGAAAGAAGTCTTATATATATAATCAACATTAACTCCCTAATTAGCTCATATATTAAGGACCGGATAAGTATTTGGTAATTAAGCTAAGGAGTTATAGATTTAAACCCTTCCTTGCTCACCTTGTTAAAACATTTTTTCTTCGGTGATCGGTGGCAACGCTTCAATCACTAGCGAGTAGCTTTCGGGAGCTCCATGTAATTCTATTTTGGTTTTTTAATAATGCAGAGTAATTTCATTGTAAGTCTCTTTAGTGAGATTTTACTGAAATTCTCCCTATAGTTTTTGTGGGGTAATTAAAACATTAATTTGATAGCCCATTATCCATCTCTATATATGTGATTAACATCCGGAAATTAATAAATTTGTATAAATAAATGTAGAATTAAAAGAAAAATATTGTTTTAACTATCAATCTGTCAATAAGACCTAAATTGTTGATAGAAAAAACTAGGAAAAAGTCCCTCATTAAAACTTTTATTGGTGAATAAGACCTAAATTATAATATCGATACTTTGTATGTGCATATTTTCACAGTACTGATACTTTCTATATATAAAATTGATTTATCCAGTCATTAGTAACAATTTTTATGGGGAATTTTTCTTTGAAAAATTTAATTTAAAAAATTTGGGCAATCCAATGGGCACATGTAGAGCCGGAAAAACACGTCGAGCTTAGTTATCAAGCCCAAAAGGTGTGTAGACCGGGTTTGAAAATTTTTTTTCTTCAAATGGGAAACATGTTTAAATAGATTGGCTTTACAGGGCTGAGAGCTTAAATGTACCGACTCGTTTTATCTTTTTATAAGTTTTTATTTTTTTAATTTTAATATTATTAAGTTTTTATATTGTTAATGATATTTTGAATATTTAGTTATTATTATCATTTTGAAATTAGATTTTACAGAATAATTTAATCTTACATACAATAATTTGTTCAATAAAATGCGCTGTGCATGCGGCCAAACCAAGCCTTGCATGGATGCATGCAATGCAATGCGAGATATGAATGTTGCATGGGTCTTCTAAGAACTATGCATATAAATTCAAAGCTCTTGGGTAAATATAATAGTACCAATTTGATTTCTGTCTTGATGAAGAAAAAAAGAATGGTCAAGCCAGAAATAATCGTAGGAATTGGTGGACGTCAAATGCGGCAAAATAGCACGAAACGGTTTGATTACCAATTCAAGCAGAGGGGATGAAGGAGAAAGAGAGAGAATGAGCAGCGGCGGCGGCAACAACAGCAACGAAGGAACCCTCGTCTGCGTCACTGGTGCCAATGGCTACATCGCTTCCTGGCTCGTCAAGCTCCTCCTTCATCGTGGTTACACGGTCAAGGCCACTGTTCGCGACCCAGGTGAGGGATTGGACTTTTATATATATCCTCCCGTTTATCTCCATTAGTTTGCCCAAATTTGTATTCATTGCTTTATTGTGTTTCGAATTTCTTGTTGCGACTTTTCTGTAATTGAGCTTCTCTATGCGTATTTTCGGAATTTTTATTGGTAGTCATTAAAGGGGAACCAATGTAATGTTCTGTAATGGTAATTCGGCAATTGGAAATATTAGGGGAAGGTAACGGGGTTTGCATGGAGAGATAAAAACGTCAAAAATTTGCTGAATTGAGATGGAAATGCGAATAATTGAGGCGAAGTCTTATTAATTTTGCCTGAATTGGGGGACACAAAAGTGTGAGCATCTACAGAGTATTCTGGAAACATTCATGAAAGGACTAACATGAGAAGAATGAAGCGTTAGTTAGAATGACCTGCATCTGAAATAAAGAGGTGGGTGTAAACTTACTTCTATTTTACCTCCTTTGGTGGAGTGCTTCAAATTGTCTTGAGAGGTTAAACACAAAGGATCTTCAATGGTTTAAGGTGGTTTTGTCTGAGCTTAAAAATAGAAGAGAAATCACTCATGATTGAGGAATCATTTTGACGGGATAATGGAAAGTTTGTAACTATGGACATTGAATGTTGAGACTGAGGAAGTTCCATTTATTGTACGGGAAAGGTGGACTGGCATGTGATGCAAATAGATGTGACAAGTGGAGCTGAGCCATGCAAGGCATGCATAGCATAACAGGGAAGGCATGCTACGATTGGGGATTGCAGGTGGGCTCTGTTTGCCCCAGAAGTTGTGTTAAAGATTTATGAGGCGGAAAAGAGAAGAGAAATAAAGATGTTTTGATTTTGAGAAGTGAAGAAATAATAGTTGTGGGTAATAAGAGGGACTAGCAAGGCTTGCTTTTTAGTTCGTCAAAAAGCTGACGCAATGTGGTTTGTAATCAACAATTAGCTGAAGAATTTCAATATGAAATTTTTTATTTTATTCCAAAATTGAAGCTGCAATATATAGAGGAAGTGGAGCACAGAATGAAGCCTAATCAATTCTCAACATATAATGAAATAAAGGGTAAAGAGGTAAGCCAACATAGAAGGACACGAAGGCCCCTGAGGGTGGTATTTGGGTACTGTGAGAGGTCTTTGGGCCTATGTCAATCCCCTCAGAGAAACTATGCGATCAAAGTAGCATTACGCTTCTCCATGGTCTTGAATGAGGGCATGATCTATAGAGTTGAATCCCATCTTAAACTATGCAAGAATCTGACTTAGAAAGTAAAGTATTTCAATTACTTAGGAGCAAAAGGGTATAATTGCTGGGAGCTCTCAGTTTGTCTTGAGACACCTTGGAATTATTTAGATCCTTGGTACATGGGAATTAGGGGTAAAGGGGTAGTGTGGGTAATTTGGGGTCATATTAAGTCTGTAAATCGGAGTGTTGAGGTTTGTAATGGGTGTCTAGTGAATGCATTTTTACTGTTTACTCTATTTTCCCTCTTCTCTCTCTGTTTACCTCTAACAATCCTGAAACCTAGTTTAGGAGCAACTAGATATACAACACATCAGCTAGATATGTTAATCATTTTCATTCGTTTATCTCCCCATGTCTTCTATTTTGGCTTACACCAAGCATATCACTCCAGGTCTATGGCTCTGATATTTCTTTTGCTGTGGGCATTGTGTTCATCAATTAAAATTCCGGCCGTATCCTTTTGGCTTTCAAGAACATTTCTTTTCTTTTCTTTTCTTTTATTCCCCGGTGAACAAGAACATTTCTATCTTAACATGAAAGTGAATGTATGTGCTCACAACTGGGGAAAAAAAATATTAATGCAGTAGTTATGAATGAATAAAATGCAGACAGATATCAGGGAAGATTTGGTCCATGAATTTGTAAAAGATTTTTTTTATTGCCATCTAATTTTCTATATTTTTTAAATGAACCAGTGCTATCTTATGTGCCATTCAATAGCAGTTTGAGTTATCAATCTGTTATGGTTGTATTTCCATGCAGGTGATCCAAGAAAGGTAGACCATTTGCGTAAACTTGATGGTGCAAAGGAGAGACTGAACCTGGTTAAAGCAAATCTTCTGGAGGAAGGTTCCTTTGACCAGGTTGTTGAGGGTTGTAAGGGCGTCTTTCATACTGCATCCCCCTTTTATCATAATGTCAGAGATCCACAGGTTCATCCCATTCTAAAGCTATTGATAAATAATCGAATGCAGTCTGCCTACAGCAACTAAATTTTTAATCCTTTAATTAGTTTGTAGAACCATTTAATTATCTCTTTATGATTGTGGGTGAAGGTGTGATATATTGGGGTCTTTTTTCTTTTTTCTTTTTCATTTCCAAATGAAAAATTAAAATGGAATTCTTGCTTTGATACCCAAAAGGCCCTCTAATATGAGGACAAGTTTATTTATTTATTTATTTATTTAAGATGATAAGCTAATTTTTTATTTTTCAAATTTATATAGATTGTCATATTGACACGCCCCTTTTTGTCCTCAGCATGTTTTAACATTAGTCATTAGCTAGTAGATATCTGCATTAGTTCACTCTGTACTCCTCGTTAGGCAAAGCTTTGGAATATATGCAATTATTCTATACAGCGGTATTATTAGAACCAGACCAGATCAATGTGTAGTTTACTTGGTCAATGTTGGTTGTGAACCAAGTAGAACTACGAGTTTCAGAAACAGGGAACATAGAACTACCATCACCATGTGGCTCAGCCATTTTAATTCTGTTAGTGGAGACTAAAGAGACACACAGACCCACATGCACAAGTGCATGCCCCCACAAAAACCCACACACGCTCTTGCACTTACATATAAACATACTCTATATATATATATATATCATAATAAGATAATATAGTTCAAAGTGAATGAATGTTAACCTAGTTGGTAAAGATGTGACTCATACTTCATACGGGCATGTGTTAGGATCCAACTATTGATACGAGAACTTTTTTAATCGATAATCTAATATTTTTCACTTACCAAAATATATATATATATATATATATATATATAGTTTTACCCCATAAAGATAAATGAATCCAAAACGAGTCTTTTGAGTATTCATTTCAATGTATTTACTCTGAATAGATATTGCTGAAAAATGGCAAAATCTCTACTTGAGCAAAAAATATCCAGTGAGACTGATGTTATAGTGTTAATTATATTTGTTAATTTTGAAGTAGCTTAATGATAAATTTTGTGGTAATTTCATCCTGTGTATCATGTATTATTTTCAATGTACTTTTATATTACTTATAAAGGATTGTTTAACCATAATGGTTTTACACTTCAAAAATCGTATTTCAAATATTATAACTCGAAACAATTTGTCCCACGTATTAAACATTGAGCTGTTTTTCCGGTCATTGTGGTTTGGTTTTGAGAAGACTACTGTAAAGAACAGAGTATCATTTTACCCTGCCTTAATTTCGTGTTATCCATGATGTACATGGTTTACAAACGAGAAAATTGAAGAGAGGTATGACTACTGTCATTCTTTATAGTTGAGGCTAAGAAAGTGTAGTTTAGGGCTTCGCCTTTTAGGCTCATTTTTCATTTAACATTTTTTATTTTGAACTGTTAACTTTTACTGCCAATGTTTGTAATGCACATGATCAGTCATATTACTTATTATTGTTTCTTCCTTGGACCAGTTATTGGTTACATGAATTCTTATCAGCTATTTAGCTTGTAATATACAAGTCCAATTTGGGTTTGAGCTATTTTAGCTCTCCACGAGTGTGAATAAAACTCACAAGTTTGACAACCACCTGAATTACAATTACATTGTCTACCCGGGGGGGGGGGGGAGTTTTGGTAAGAGAAATTTTTATAGAAGAGAGAGCATTTAAATCATCTCCCGGAAAGGAAAGAGTAACTTACCCTAATTAGTTTTGTCATCAAACTATTAATCCAAAAGAACAGTTGCCTTATTACTAGCTTCTAATTATTGGTTTACTCATTTCAGACCGAATTAATTGACCCAGCGGTCAAGGGAACTCTCAATGTTCTTAGATCATGTGCGAAATCGCCATCTGTGAAGAGAATTGTTTTAACATCTTCTATGGCTGCAGTTACGTATACTGGGAAGCCTAGAAAACCTGAAGATGTAGTTGATGAGACATGGTTTTCAAATCCTGAATTCTGTAAGGAATCTAAGGTATGCACAGTCTTTTATTATACTTAGCAAAGATTTTCAAACCAGCAGTTTGTGTGGATTGAATATATGATAGTAGCAAATGCTGCATAACATTTTGATAGCAAGTTTTAACTATAAAATGCTTTCTGCATGTCTTTGCATTGCTTGGTCAAGTGGACTCCGTGGGCAGTGGTGTCTTCACATTTGCTGAATTGTCACATTTAAAATAAAATGAAAAGCACTCTTTTTCCAGAAGAAATAGATGAAAGAAAGTTGGTTGACAAGTATACCAAAATGTTAAAAGAAGATCATAATAAAATCATACTTGAAACAAAGAAGATGTGGAGGAGGAGGAAGATAGTCATTTGAGACTTATGCTTCAAAACCATCTATCAACAGTGCTTATGGTCATTTAGAACTTTCGATTGAGAACCATCTTCTTTGTTGCCAATCAGATTAAATCAAGTTTACCGCCTCCCCATAACAATCACTTTAATAAGGTTTATTTAGTCAAAGTTTTATATCTTTGGATTCTTTATTAGTTTGCAGACTGTCTGCAACTTAGATATGCAATCATGTTTTGATATCCGCATCAATATATGGTCATGCAATCAATTTTTCTTCATAACTTGATTCTGAACAAAGACTGTGATTTTGAGAGCTCGCACTCATAATTCTGATGTAGAGATGGTCCAGTAAAGTTGCTAAACTGCTTCAGCTGCTTTCCTTACTAAGTTCATGTCATAGCAGTATAACACTTTCAACCTTGCACGCACTTGACAAATGCTGCTGAGGAATAGCGTCAGTGCATTTATTCCAAATTTCAGTGCTCGAAATTATGATGATTGTCGTTGTCACCATAATCTATAATGACTTTCAAGTTTTCTGCTCTCTTTTGTTTTGTTCTTTCAGCTCTGGTATGTACTTTCCAAGACTTTAGCTGAAGATGCTGCCTGGAAATTTGTAAAAGAAAACAACATGGACATGGTTTCTATCAACCCAGGAATGGTAATAGGGCCACTCTTGCAACCTACGCTTAATGCAAGTGCCGCTGCAATTTTAAACCTAATAAATGGTAAATTTAATTTATTGGCATGATTCATCCTTACAGGAATCCTGTTGTGTGCCTGTGTGCATCTGGATTACTTGGCAATTTCAACTGAATAGTTTTTTTCTGGCTATACTGAATTAAAGTTTAGGGGTTTGAGGAGGCAAAGGAAACCATGGATTGAAACTGTCGAGAGGTTCCCATCAAGAAGTCAATAAACCATTTTAACCTATAGAAGATGTGACGTGAACCATTTATTTGGAATTTGAATTTGACCTCAGTAGAACACAACTCGTTGAAAACTACAGTTGTCATGTTTCACAGAAACCAAGCTAGTCACTGTCTACACAGTTTCTTATTATCATTCGGAGATATATTTAAGTTGCTATATTGGCAAATATATGGGAATTAGCACTTTGGAAGATTATAATGATGTTGCTTCATAAATGGACTGATCACTTGCTTGTTTGATTGATGTAGGTGCACAAACATTTCCAAATTTTGCTTTAGAATGGATCAACGTAAAAGATGTTGCAAATGCCCATATTCAGGCATTTGAGATTCCTTTAGCTAATGGAAGATATTGTTTGGTTGAGACGGTAGCACACTACGCAGATGTTGTGAAGATTTTGCATGAATTGTACCCAAAGTTTAAACTTCCAGAGAGGTAAGTTTGTATATTATACAGTATCAAATGCGTACACACACACACATGAATGCCAATATTCATTGAGCTGAAACAGCCCATCCTTCTTTTATATAGACTGAACTTTTTCTGTCACTTCAAGTCTGAAGTGAATTTGTCATACATATTTTATGATTTTCATTGAGTCCTGCATTATTCTAAATTGTTTTAATGCTTCCTAAACCATAAGCATGTCAAACTAGGTAATGAAAACATGTTTTCATACATCATACGTGGCTTAGAAATACATAACATTATGCTGAGTTGGACAAATTCGATGATATTAGATGTACCATGGATTGCAATTCTGACTTTTCTAAGGTTTCTAGCTTCTTATTCAATTCATTTGACTCATACTGATTTCATTTTTATTTACTTTCCAAAATTGTCAGGTGTGTGGATGATAAACCCTTTATGCCAAAGCATAAGATTTCAAAAGAGAAGGCAAAGAGTTTGGGAATTGAATTTGTTCCTTTGGATGTGAGTCTCAAGGAGACTGTTGAAAGTTTGAAGAAGAAGAAATTTGTCAAGTTTTAAGCCAACTGTTTAGAGATTAAATGTTGGTGACCTACAAGCTTCGAGTTGGAGGTCTCATGTAGAAGAAATTATGGAACAAGGAGGCAGGGAATAAACTAAGTCTCAAAAATATGTTGTTATGAGGCAGAAAATAAGCCTTGAACTATTACATAAAGATTGTGAAAAAATGAAGATTTGGGAAGTTATATATATTTTTTGTAAGAGATTATTATCAAATTATCAAGAGGAAAACAATTTGCCTATTGCATTTTAATCACGTTCATGAAACAAACGAGAACAATCTCAAGAACTAAGAAGGAATTGAATTATTGGGATTGAGAATTAAAAATATCACAATACAAAAGATACTATCTATAGTTCAATTTTAACACTTTTAAGATAACTTTAAACTCAAAAAAAAACTTTCTAGGCAACGTTGCTCGTGAGTGAATTTTCAGAGCAAATTTGTATCTTAACCCAAATTTTTTTTTTGATATCAAGACAAAATGATAATTACAAACAATTAGAAATATTACAAAGTCTGAATAAGTGGTACAAAGACTTTTGGACCTAAGCTCAACAAACAAATCGGTTGGCGCTACATGAATAGTAACATTCAAGACCCCTATAAATTAAGAAAGAAGTATAGTCGTATCATTCCCAACTTACAAATGAGTTTCTTAAAAGTTGTTGTGAACTTAGATGCTTAGTTCAAATGTTAGCTTTAATCAGCCACATCAATCGCAGTACACCACTATTGCGTGGCATGTGTGTGTGAGAGAGATATCAAATCACAAAATCAGGGATCCAAGTCATAATGGTACCTTGCCTCCCTTCCTAAGAGCATCTATGCCAACATAACAAAGGAAGCCTATATCTAAAATAGGTTTCAAGGCATCAAATACAACAATTTCTTTTTTGGGATAAGAAAATGAATGAAGGTTTGTGCAAGTCAGCTAGTCGTCTGTACCTTTAAACTGTTGTGGTCTTCCTAAACCCACGGCAATTCCAACTTTCATGTTGTCTTGGGAATCTTAGAAGGGGCAACTTCCACAGCCCTCTTGGTAAAATAGTGAGCCAGAGCAGATTTATACGATAAAAAGAATGATTGCAAAGTGGATTTAGTGATTTGATTCTTACATCAAAATATCATTGAGACATTAATTAAAAAATATATGCTAAAAAAAAAGGTAAATTCAAAGGCGAAAAAGAGAAATGGCTAGATAACAGCCCAAAAAGCAGCCCCACAAGTCACAGTCAATTATATAATTTCCATACGTGCACTGCTTCATTGATTTCCTTACTATATAAACGTCATGTAAATAATCAATAATCAGTTATTATTTATTCTTAACAATGTTAATAAATAAACGAATGAAGATGCTGACGTGTCGTGTTTAAAAGCTAACTTGCTATTGCATTACCCCCCTTCCCCAAAAAGAAAAAAGATAGAACGAGAAGAGAGCTCGTGCATTTATATATACTCTTAAGTCTGACCCTCCAATTGCTACGTGCACCCACAAAACCACCTCTCATATTCTTCTTCTTAGCCCCATCAAACGAATCTTGCGGGTACGGCTTTCCTTTTCTTGATCATTTCGTCTTCTTCTACCTTCATCTTCTTCTTCTTGTTGGCTATATTATTGATCTTTTCTTGGTGGAAAATATACATCGTTCATTAAGCTACTAGCTGTTTCCATTGTTTTCAGAAGACGTACATGAAGTGTGATGAGAACCAACAGTTTTTATCTATCATAGATAATGGAATTGTAAGGATTAAAAAGTTCCCGCCCGGGTATAGATTTTGCCCCACAGAAGAAGAACTCATTGTGAAGTATCTGATGAAGAAGGTCAAGAATGAACCACTGCCACCAAATCTGATCATACCAGAGGTTGATATATATCAATACGATCCTGCAATTCTATGTGGTAATAATAACCCCAAAAACTTAATTCTCTATCTTGTTTATATAAATATGTGTGTGTGTGTGTGTAACATTTTTCACTCATATATAACTTGCAGAAAACTACAAAGGCATGGATGAGAAAGCATGGTATTTCTTCTCACCAAGAGAAAGAAAATACCTGACTTGGTCAAGGGCAAAGAGATCCACAAATGAGGGCTATTGGAAAAATTATGGCGTTAGTAACAAGTCAATCTATTCAAAGAAGAGAATTGTGGGAAAATGGAGGATCTTAACATATTTCCAAGGAAAGAGTCCCACTGGAACAAAGACGACCTGGAACATGAAAGAATATTCACTTGTTGACTTGCCTCATCAAAGAACGATCAGTAACACTAATATGAAGGTTAGTTCATAATTAATATACTGCGCGTATAATAATCTATGATCTGATCTGTTTATTTCTTGCCATTTTAATAATCCAACTAATAAGTTCTTTTATAATTTTATGTGATTTTGAGTAGTTACGTGACTTTGTCTTGTGCAAGATTTACAAGAGAGTTCCTCATCGTCGTCATGTTCTGAAGAACCAGAATAAAGAAAGAAAAATAACATATGATGAAAAGCTTCTTATGCATCAAGAAGAACTTTATCAGGATTATTATAATAATAACCATTTGGTTTCTGCATTAATGCCTACTCCTCAAGATCATGATGATGATGATGACTATTTTTCTTTTCTGGATGGCTATCCTTTAGAGGTTTTGCAAGAAATGGCTAGCGAACTGGAGGACTTGGAGGTCTTGGCTGGTTTAGTTTTCCGACGATAAATAAATGATTCCCTTTTATGTTGTTTTTACAACTATCTCATACACACACATATCTGTAATTACGTACGAACTGGTACAGAACCAAGCTAAGTATTGCATATTTTCAGTGGGATTTGGACCACCAATTATTCTGGGTTGGATTATTGCTTGAGGCTATCTTCAATGGTTCTTTATGCAGTTTAATTTTTAACTCATGCAATGTGTGTAAGAAATTATATTGTGATTTGATTGTTTTCGTTATTTCGTATTGTTGTTATATATATTACCTCCGGTCCTTAATATAAGATCTCATTTGACTTTCATTTTAGTTCTAAATATAAGATCTCAATTCACTTTACTTCTAATATTTATTCATTTTTTTCCAAGATAATTCTTCTAATAATGGTAATTCTAACCAATAACCTTAATTAGTAAAGATATTTTAGGAAAGACAACACCTATTTATTATAAATAACTAACTTAATTTGTTTTCTTAATCTACTCAAATTAGTCAAATAGCTCTTATAATTATGATCGGAGGTAGTAGTTGTTTTATTATTTCATATTATTGTTATATATAGTTGTTTTAGGTTATAAAACCTTTGAAATATCAATTGGTCGTGCATATGATATTATCAAGTCTTTATTTATTAATCAAGCATATTTTTAATCCTCTTTTAAAAAATCTTTATATCTTTTATATTTTTCAGTTTATCTTTGCTTTACTTGCAACATTTTCATATGTGGTCTTATGTTCTATTCTATTAATAAGGCGGAAAGATTTTTTTTTTTGTCCTGTACTTTTTTTGGCCAAATATTTTACACTGTTTTACCTTTTATTTATTATTGTGTATATTGTTATCTTCTTAAAAACTGTGTGTATATCAAATAAGCAACAAATTGAAAGCAGACTTAAAAAAAATTTAAATTTTTCTTGGTTCTCATATTTCATATAATTTTAAAGTTGCTTACCATTAAATGATTATGACCACGAAAAAAAATCATAAACGTATCAATCTCAGAAGAAAAGAATCTTGAAGTTGTTTTAGTAAACAAAAAATATTATTTTTAAGATAGATTTTTTTGTACAGCAGGAAGTAAACATTAAAACAAAAACGCGTTGGCCAGCCCACAAGCCTCTTAGTTAAGTTTGTGGTTTTTGGGTTTCTAATGTATTTCCGTCTAATATCCTTTGCAATGAATCTAGGAAAAATTACACACTGATATCATAGAAGACAATTAATTCTGAAAAAGTCCCAGGAAATCCCCAAATGCTTCCTAAGTCCCCAGGGATCTTAGAGGTAAAAATTAAAATTGTGAAATTACCTACTCGCCCTGACTGATTGAAAAAGGGAAGAAAAAAAAAGACAAAGAGAAGCTGATTGGCTCAGTTGGTGCGCTGGGTTTTTAGCATGCACGAGGAAGAGAACCTTTTGAAAGAAGAAATGGAGGTCTGCGCTGGTGCTCTATTATTGCAGGCAGGCCATATTTTTTCTTCATCTTCATTGTAGGTCTCATCATTGACAACATTTCTCTTCTTTTGTACACAACCAGTCTCAAATTTAATATTGGTTTGAAACGTTGATTGGTTGTGGGTGTGTGGGTATTAAGGATGTGATTCAACTCACTACAACTATCAAGGGAGGCTCATTTTAGTCATATGTGGTTTTAATCATCTTATGTGTGGTTTTGTTATGTGTGGATAGGGTTATAAAGCAATGCTCTGTTTTTCAATGAATAATGCTTTGCTTTTCAGTCATTGATGCTGTGTTGCTGATGAAAATGAATGGAAAATAACGGATTTTTATTGTTGTAACCCATGTAATACGATGGTTAAATGTGTTGTTAATGGGTATATCGAATGTTATTAATATATGTTGATGAAAATGAATGGAAAATAACATATTTTTATTGTTGTAACCCCTATAATGGATGGTTAAATGTGTTGTTAATGGGTGTATCAAAGGTTGTTAATATAACTGTATGACTTGTTATCAATGAAGGATGGCAACATCAAGTGAGAAGCATTTGTTTTGTTACCTTCATATAGGAGGACAATTTATTAATGATGTGAAGGGTGAAACACAGTATGTTGAAGGTGGTGTGAGAATAAGAATGATAAAGAAAGGCACATCATACGAAGAATCAATATAACTTATCAATTTCTTCCAAACAAGCTGATCCCTATTGTCAGCTCTATGTTGGCTACATACATAGTTTACTGTTCTCAAGGGTTGATCCAACTCCATTTAACATCCTCTGGCTTCATGAGCATAATGTAATGACGGGTGTGAGTTGTACTTGTGCA